GAAGGACAGAGCATGCCCAGATAGCTCCCGTGTGGAGATGGGAGGCTCTGACTGTGCGCAGTCAGTTCAAGGCCTGGAAGGACAGAGCATGCCCAGATAGCTCCCGTGTGGAGATGGGAGGCTGTGGCTGTGTGCAGTCAGTTCAAGGCCTGGAAGGACTGAGCGTGGCAGGCCTGGCCAGCGCCCACCGCAAGCCTGTTCTGTCATTCCCACCTTACACACGGGAGGGAAACTGAGGCAGGTGGATATTGCGTTCCCAACATCATACAGCTAGTAAGGTACCACAGTGATAATTTTTCCCTGGTCTGATAGTGCTTCCTGTTGTCATACTAGAGTGTTCTCAGGGCCAGCACCATCACAGATCGCTACAGAAGGAATAGAACATGAAGAGGGTTTGGAGGGAGGCTCGTTATCTCACCTGTACACGGGAAATAGTATTTCCCTATACATATAATCGTAAAGACATTTTTAACAACGCCTGTGTATTGAATGGAGCCCTGGTGGCACAGTAGTTAAGAGCTACAGCTGCTAAATGAAAGATCTGGAGTTCAAATCCACTAGCCGCTCCTTGGAAACCCTATGGGGCAGTTCAACTGTGTCCCATAGGGTCAGTATGAGTCGGAATTGACTCGATGGCAACAAGTTTGGTTATATATTGAATAGTTTAAAAACGTTTAGAAATTTGATCTTTAAAAAGCAGTGTTATTAACCTTACACTTTTGTGAAGTTTTTATTAAAGTGTGTAGGTTTTCTCCTACTAGTGTACTTTACCGCATTAGTGTGGCTTGTTCTTTAGCTTTGTGTGTGATCGTTTCTATCTTCCTCTCCTCTAGACTATAAGCTGCATGAGAGGAGGGACCAGGCCTCCTCCCCCTTGTTTATTTCATTCGTTTATGCAGCATAGATGTATTGAGCATGTGCTCCATGCCAGGCCCTGTGGTCACAATGCAGCTGGGGAACCAGTACCCAAAGGTGGTGAGTGCTTGCAGGGCAGGACACGTGCCAGAGTCACTTGGCTGCCTTCCATGGTCCCTACTGTAATTGGAATCAACAACATGGATGGCAGCCGTGAGTATAACTGAATTGAATGTACTTTTCAAAAATAATCAGAATCTCTGAATTCCACATAACAAGTCATAAACAATTTCTAGATCAGTGATATTACCTAGAAATAGATGAATTGACTGATGGAATGAAACAGAAAGCCCAGAAATAGACCCACCATATATGAAAATTTGATACAGATGGCATTGCAGATTACTGAGTATGAATAGTAAGTCTTTTTCCATGTGGGAAAAAAAAAACTGTATCTCTACCTCACGCCATACACAGAAAATAGATTTCAGATATATTAAAGACATAATGTAGAAAGCAGAACTTTAATAGTTTTAGGAGAGAATCTAATTTGCACTTTAAACTTTCACCTAAAACACAATAAAATTAAAAAAAATAGTTTTAGGAGACTGTCTTTATGACCTTATGGTAGGAAAGATTTTGTAAATAAGATGCAAAAAGAAATAATCATAAAGGATAATAAGATCGGTGAGTTTGACTACTAAATTTCTTTTCCTCAAAAGATACTATAAAGTGAAAAGACAAGTCATGAGGGAAAAAATATTTGTTTTACACATAAGTTTGGTAGTGGGTTGATGAGTGTTCAGTTTATTATTATGCTTTATAACCTACATATATGTGGCATAGCCTTTTGTACATGTCAAATATTACAGACAGAAAAAGAGAAGAATCTATAGGATATTTGCAAATACTGCTGTTTTTCTCCAGCTTATCCCCCCTCTTTTTTTTTTTTTTTTGATTTGATTAGGAAAGGCTGTTCCTGAGATTGAGTAATTGCTTTACTAAGGTTCCCCATCTTAACATTCATCACACAGTATTACAATCATTTGTCTGTTCCTCATGCTGGACTATATAAATCACGAGAACAAGGAGCTCTGTATTGTCCAATGAGATATCTCCCTTGCTCAGCAAAGTGCCTGGCACATAGTATGTGCTCAATAAATATTAAGATGGATGATGCGAGAAATATTTCCTTTATATGTGTGTGTGTGTATAATTTATTTATTTAAATTTATTTATTTTGTTGTTGTTGAGAACATACACAGCAAAACAGTTAATTGGCTTAATGTGTTTATTGCTTGTGTTCTACCACCTAGTTCTGTTGTGTGGTGCCTGGGGTCTTAAAAGCTTGCAAGTGGCCATCCAAGGCACAGCAATTGGTCTCTATTCACCTGGAGCAACAGAGGAAAAAGGAGAGTCAGGAATAGGAGGAGGATACAGAATATGTGGCTAATTGCCTCCATGAACAATTGCCTCCTTTGCCATGAGACCACAAGAACTGGATAGTGCCCAGCTACCATTACTGAACATTTTGATCAAGGATTCTATAGAAGAATCCTGATCAAAGGGGGAAATTGCAGAACAGAATTTCAAATTCTCATGGACTCCAGACTTTCTGGAGCCATGAAGGCTAGGTGAACCCCTGAAATTATTGCCTTGAGATAATCTTTAAACCTTAAACCAAAAATATCCCCTGAAGTCTTCTTAAAACCAAACAATAGTTTAGCTTAACTAGTAAAAAATGTGTGCCTTGACCATTATGCTCTTTTAAGAACTATCTATATGGGATCAAATTGACAATAGCAACTGGAAAGATTGGAGAGGAATCTTAGAGGGCAGTGAGTTTATGTTAATGGAGGAGGAACAACTCAGAAAAGGAGGGTGAGAATGATCACAAAACTTGAAGAATGTCAACACTGTCACTGAATTGTACATGCAGAAACTGTTGAATTGGTGTATCTTATTTGTTGTTGTTTTGAGCATATACACAGCAAGCACACACCAGTTCAAGTTTCTGCGTGTACAATTCAGTGACAACATGTCCATTTTTAATAAATATATCTGTGCCTTCCATTTCCAGAAAATTGTTTTTAGCTATAAACTCTTAATATTCATATTCTCGTTCTTCCTTGGGCTGTCATTTCACACGCACTTACCCCTCTCAAATTTCAGGGTGCTAGTACTTTCTTTAGAAGGCTTTTATAACGGTCATTATTCTGTTGTCTGTAATCTTGTTCATGGATATTGCAGTAGAATCACTTTAATAACATTACTTAAAGGAAAAAAATTGGTGCGTCAAATATTCCTTCATTAGTTTGCAACGTACGTCTTTTAATGCCTTCAAGCCATATGCAGAATCACAATTTTTTTCAATTCAAGCAAATGAACATACTTAAATTTTTGCTTTGCTGGGATTTAATTTAAGCTCAATTTTGATCTTAAAAAGGATTGGAAATAATTGTTAAATATAACAGTCAAATTTTTAAACCTAACTTTGTCCTAATTTATTATTTAAATCTTGATAATTGTAAAGAATTACATGTACTTCGAAAATGTTCTAAGAAAATGTGCAGCGTCATATTTCATTTTAGATTGCAGATTTTAACGTATTTAAAAGATGCATGTGAATTTCCTTTGGGGTGTATGCGAGTCCAGTGATGTTCTGCAGCCAGGCCGGACTTTGAGGTGCATTTTTGGAAATCCTAATTCTCTAAGTTGGTCCTGAATGTTACAGAGTCTCCAACACCAGGTGGCTCACGTGGCTACTCAGCTGGAAGCTGCCAGATTGCTGACATACAACTCTGCTAGACTTGTAGAAGCTGGAAGACCATTCATAAAAGAAGCATCCATGGCCAAATACTATGCATCAGAGGTAAAAATAAAAAATCAGTAATGCAACCCTAGTTGTTTTTTCAGGTATGTGCCTATTAGGAGTTGGTTGAGAGTTTGTTTTTTAAGTAAAATACCATGCACTTCCCAGCTCCTCTGATAGAGAAGCAAAAAGTAAAGCTGCCATAGACAAGTGCTTTGATTCGGTGAGTCTCAATGTTCCCACAGGGTCTTAAGAGGGAACCGAGTAGCCCAGTTTATGTAGAGCATTCATCATAAACCCATGGGTGAGCGTCTTAGTTACCTAGGGCTGCTGTAACAGAAATACCACAAGTGGGTGGCTTTAATGAACAGATATTTATTTTCTCACAGTTTAGGATGGTAGGAGTCCCAATTCAGACCTCTGGCTCTAGGGGAAGGCTTTCTCTCTCTGTCAGCTCAGGGAGGAGGTCCTTGTCTCTTCAGCTTCTGTTTCCTGGTTCCTTGGACATCTCCATGTGGCTTGGCATCAATCTCCCCCACCCCAGCTTCTCTCGCTTGCTCGCTTGCTCCTTTTAATCTCTTTTATGTCTAAAAGAGATTGACTCAGGATATACCCTATGCAAATCCTGTCCATTAACATAACAAAGGCAACCCATTCCCAGATGGGATTATAAACACAGGCATAGAGGTTAGGATTTAAAACCCCTTTTTTTGTGGGACACAATTCAATCCATAACATTCCTCTGTTTGGCCCCTAAAAATTCATGTCCCTGCCACGTGCAAAACACATTCACCCCATCCTGTCATCCCAAAAGTCTTAAATCTATTCCAAGTCCAAAATCCTATCATCTGAATCATCTAAATCAAATATGGGTGAGACTTTAGGTGTATTCTATCCTGGGGCAAAGTTTCTCTTCATCTGTGAACCTGTGAAACCTAGATTACAGGTTATCTGTTTCCAAAATACAATGATGAAACAGGCACAAGGTAGATATTTCCATTACAAATGGGAGAAATGGGTGGGAAAGAAGGGATAATGGGCATCAAGCAAGTCCAAAATGCAGCACAACAATTTACATTAGCTCTCAAGCTTGAAAATAATCCTCTGTTCTCTGAGACCATCTGGCGGTGGCCTTGCTGTCCAGTTTCTAGGTGTTAGCCATGCCCTCTCTGGATTCTAGATAGAGGTCCCTCAGCCCTGGGCTTTAGCTACACCTTCTAGGCCCACTGGGATGGCAACTCTGTTCCCTTGGCTTTGGGTGGCCCCATTTTCCTAGTCCATCTGAGTGGCAGCCCCACCCCCTTGACCCCAACAGGCCCCATTCTTCTGCCCCTTGAGCATGGCAGCCCCACCCCCTCAGCTTTGGGTGGCAGCCCCATTCCCCTGGCACACCTTAATGGCAGCCCCAACGGTCCGGAACCAAGTTGGTGAAGGTCCTATTCTTTGAAACCTAGGAGGCTGTGGCCCTACCCTTTGAGATTCAGAAGACCGTGGCCCCACCCTTGGAAACTGAGAAAGCCCTGCTTCCCGTGCTCCTTCCAACAGCTCTGCTGATCTCTGCGCTGCTCCAGGGATGGTTCTTTTCTTTTCTTGGAAGACAACAGATGTAGCTCCTTTGGCCTATTTCCTGCCTGTAGGATTCCAAGAGGCAGACAGCATTCTCTCCTTTTGTTCTTTGTCTGTCACCTTCAGTCTTAGATGATGAGTTTTTTGCTATGGTAGTTGGTTGGATCCATCAGTCACAGGCTTAATCTGTTTAACAAAAATTTGTGTAACTGCATCCTTGGTGAACATTCTAGGACATGTGTCCTTAGTTTGTACAACAGAATTTCCCAAATCTTTTAAGTTTTGTTTTCATTTTGCACAGTTCATTTTTAAGTCCATCTCTCTCGTCTCACATTTTACTGTAAGCGGCAAGGAGAAACCACTCGGCCCCTGTAAGATCATACTTAAAAATCTCCGTAGCCAGATATACAGGTTCACCACTCACAAGTTCTGCCTTCCACCAGACATTTGAACATAATTCAGACGAGTTCTCTACCACTGCATGAAAAGCATCACCCTTCCTCTATTGTTGAATCACATGTTCATCATTTTCTTTTAAAGCCTCACCAGAAGCATATTTAACATCCACATTTCTAGCAACATTCTTTTGCTGGCACCATATGTATTCTCTAAGACAACAGAGACTCTCTGTAGCTCTCCTCACTTTCTTCAGAGCCCTTACTGGAATTGCTTTTGACGTCCATAATTCTACCAGCAGTCTCTTCAAGGCAATCTAGGCTTTTACTGTTAGGCACCTTAAAACTTCCAGCCTCTACCCTTCACACAATTCCAAAGCCGCTTCCACATTTTAGGTATCTGTTAGAGCAGCACCCCACTCTTCCAGTAGCAAATTCTAGTTCTGCTGTAATAGAAATACCACAAATGAATGGCTTTAACAAACAAATTTATTTTCTCACAATTTAGGATTGTAGAAGTCCAAATTCAGAGACTTCTAGTTCTAGGGGAAGGCTATCTCTCTCTGTCAGCTCAGGGGAAAGGTCCTGGTCTCTTCAGCTTCTGTTTGCTGGTTCCTTGGAGATCTCCGTGTGGCTTGGCATCAGTCTTCCCCCATCTCTGCTTCTCTCACTTGCTTATCTAATCTCTTATATCTCAAGATACACCCTATACTAATCCTGCCTTATTAACATGACAAAGACAACCCATTCCTAAACAGGATTATAACCACAGGCATAAAGGTTTGGATTTAAAACACATATTTTTGGATGACACAGTTCAACCCATAACAGTGAGCCTCAGCTTGAAGTTGGCATCAGGCCCATGACTTCAAGTTGGGGCAAAGTGAATACCACAGGAGATGATGTGAAAGGTATAAGGTTCATAATATTTAAATATTCCCCATCGAAATCATGCCAGCGGTCCTAACAAGCTGTTCTTTTGCCCAGTATCCTTTATCACATCGTGTGATTGTTGGTTTAATGTCAGGGTCTCCAGATGCCTACCAGGGCCAAGAGTGCAGTAAGTGCCCACCCGTCATCATTGTACACCCCGTGGCTGGAAGAGGGCATGGTATAAAGAAGACGCTCGATAAATGTTTGCTGAATAAATGATACCTGTCAGCAAATGTATGAATCTGAACAATACCCTAGTTTTCTTAAGAAAATAGGAATTTTGTGAATTAATGGGATATCTTACAGACATGAACTGCAGAATGGGATGTAATAGACAATGCGGTCCATAAAATATATTCAGTCTTTCCAAGTGCCAGTAACAGGGACTCCCTGTTTCTAAAAACATTACACAGAAGTGTCTGTAGTGCACAGGTTGTGTGGTTTCTATGTGTGACTTGCTGCTTATTTTTGATAGATTGCAGGACTAGTGACTAGTAAATGTATCGACTGGATGGGGGGAGTAGGCTACACCAAGAATTACCCTGTGGAAAAGTTCTTCCGAGACGCAAAGATTGGTAAACAGACTTTTTTTTTACATTTTATTTTTTGTTTTATTGGCCTCTGTAGGTATTTGCCCTGTTATGTTTGTTCTCTTTTATATTACTGTACCTAGGCAAAAGCAATTTTAATCTTTTCAAGATATGTTTATTGGCTCTCTTCTGATTTCTGGGGTTTTCCCCCATTTCTTTCTTCAAAATTATGGGCTCATATGTTTTAAAACATCAAATTACCTTTTTAAATGCCTTAATAAGCCTCTTAGTAAAACTGCAACAAAACCTACTGTCTTCATTTTTCAAACTTTTACTAAAAATTTTACTATTTATGATTAGTGTAGTTGAATACGCTTGGAGATGTCGTTCTGATTTCAGAAGCTAGGTGCCCAGTCAAGCAGGAGCATTCCAGTGCTTGCTCCCAAAGAAGATAGAGACGCAACAGCTTCAAGAGCTGCCTGTCCCTTAATAACAGTCCAAGCTTATGCACTGATAGTTCAGGAACCAGAAACTTCAACTCTTTATACCGAATCTGGAAGTCTATAAACCAAATGGAAAATGGTCATCCCTTGGGCAAAATTTAGCAAAAGAGTTAGGTAATGGAGACACCGGATTGGTTTCTGTACGTGAATATTCGTACGTACTTGAGTCTCCTTCCACCATGGCTCCTCTTGCACAGCCGGGGACCATCTTGTGCTGACCTGCGTAGTGGCGCCTGTCCCACCCTATCGAGCATCTTGTTCCTCTGCTGCATGAGAGGCAGCATTGGGGTTAACCCCAGCGTAGGCACACTGACCTGGGTTTAAATCCCAGGTGTCGGGCATATCATCAGGGCAAATTAATTAACCTAGGTGAGCCTTAGTTTTCTCATTTGAAAAAATATGGTAATTATATCGATATATTGTACTGAGGATGGGAAGTGTACCCTTTTTCACCATCATAGCCCCAGCAGCTAACACAGAGCTTCTCACTAAATATTTCTGGGTGAAAGATCTGGGGTGGGGGGGTGTGGTAGCAAGATAGAGTCCTTTGACCCCATTCCAGAGCTGTGTTTGTAGTATATCCTGAGGTTTAAAATAATAATTAAATGAGATGAGTCTCAGAAGCTTTGTTTTGGTTCTCTAATTTAGTAACCTTCAGTAGAAGGGCAGGAAGTTGGCAAGTAAAGCTTTCTGCAGATCATTTTGGCAACCTTTGATGCTGTTCGTTTTGTTTATGGATTTATGTGTTTCCTCTTTACAAAAAGAGTTTGAGTTGATTTGTAATAAAATACATGGAGTTGCCATCTGGTTGTTAAAGCATGAAACCAAAGGCTGAAAAGGAAGAGAAAGGGAAGGTACTGAACCATCTGGCCTAATTGGTAAGCTTGGCACTTTTCAGCAGCCAGGGCAAAAAATAAAGCCCAATAGTTTATATAATTCTTGATATCAGAAAGAGGAACAGATACCAATTCTTGAAGAGAGTGGAGCTTCTCTCTGCATTAAAGTCTCATTAATATGTTCTAAATTACTTTGTCAAATAGTACCATGTTTAGGGGACAATGAATGATGTTGTTAATAATAGCTTTATAGCAAACGCAGAGGCAATATTTGCATACCTGTTTCTTGTATAGACTCTTATCCACAGACCCACTCCTAATGGTCCCTTTTGCTCCTTTTTGTTTAAGGTACAATATATGAAGGAACTTCAAATATCCAGCTGAGCACCATTGCCAAGAGCATCGATGCAGAATACTGACATCCATGCGGATGGGGCGTCTCCCTGATGTCACTGGTGTAAAGGGTTAAAGGATGTGCCTTGTTGGGAGAGTAAACCTTCTTAGCACTGAAGTAGTTCATTTAAACCCTTTGTGATGGTCCTTGGAGAAGGTGTTTTCTATTTTATCTTTTCAGCCTCTTAGGCACTGGAAATCATTTTCTAATTTGAGATGAAATGCATCTGTAGTTTCTCGAAAGCTGTGTTTAAAGTTCAGTACGTATTTATATTAATCAGCCTAGCTTCAGAGTATACAGCAGTTTTACTCCGTCAGCATTTGGGAAAATAAAGACATTTGAAGTATTTCTTATAGGAATGGCTATTTTATATTCCTATTAAATCTGCATTTTGTGGTATCAATCAGAAAAATGTTTGTTACAGGAGGTAATTTTTATTTAATATTTTATAAGATTCACTTACAAGTTGCTAAGCTAAATAGACATTGATAAAAATTTATTTAGAAAAATTAAAAATTCAAGTTCTAAATGTCTGAGAATAGGTGGGTATAATTGAAGAAAACACTTTTTAACAAAGGAAAACAATGTAATTTGTTACTATAATGAACTGTGTAGAAGATGCATTTCATAATAGTTTTCAGCAAGTCACTTTAAAAACAAGTCTCTGCATTAGTTTTCAAGTATAAATCTTCAATAATTTGGTTAAATAATCAGAAAGTATTCAATGTTATTCATTCTGTCGGCACTATTTTTCTACAAGATAGTATCTTTCTGTGTTTAAATTGAAAACTGTTTCCTCAAAATTATTTATTAAACTTTATAATGAATCGTAATTCAGAAATTGGTTGGATGATTCTCAAGACGGGAAAGTCTTGCCCTGTAGAGGAACGTATCAAAATCTTGTAAGAAATGGGGGACAGGAGAGGATTGTCACAAGTTTGAAAAGCATATTCAATGTTAAAATTAAAAGCATATTCAGTATTAAAGGCAAAAGTAAATCTGTTGTCTTACAATACAAAGTAGAGAGGTAAAGCTCAATGGAGTGTGTCGCTGTTGAGGCCATTTTCTTCAGTATCGGATTCTCGATGCGGAGAGCAGACCCCTCTGGGGACACATCAGAAGTCCCCTCGGGACAGGAGTGGGCAGGGGAGGAGTGTGAGAACTTCTTGTTTTCTGAAAAGGGGACCTGGGTTAGGGAGGTAGAAAAATAAAATTTCAAGGCTCATGTGGTTGCATAAAATAATCACAACAGTTAAATAGGAAGAAATTTTGTAGTTTAATAAAGGACAGTGTTTATTAAGAATACCTGGCATCTTTCAAGTAATTTTGCTTTGTACTTTCATGTTTATTGATTCATTTCTACAATGCAGATCATAGCTAAATATTCAAAATTGTATAAATACAATGAGATGGGAATTACATTAGAATATTAGGAAGAAATAAAGACAAATTTAGGCCCTAGATTAAAAGAGATAAAGTCTGCTTGACTTTCAAATAGGAAACTCAGTCATTCAATCTTTCAGAACAAAAGACAAAGTAATCTGATAAGGAAGGGAGGGGAGGGATGAAATGCCCTAAGGGAGGGGGATGGACAACTTTAATTTCTGTGATTATGCGGAAGAGTGGGATGTTACAGGTAATAGGGTAGAAGCCAGCATTAATAAAAAGAATCCCAACTTTTCTCTATAGAATCATAAACACGTGTAAACCTTATCTTCAAGTTAGCAGCATGGAGAGCCTCCCATTGGCATCTGGACCTGGAATTTATATTTAGTATTGATTTCTGTGTATATGTAGGAGTTCTAATTTTATGTATGTTTCGTGCATGTTCACAAAGAACAGTTGAAACTTTCCTTATTTTGCCTAAGTGTATTATGTATTATAGTTAATATAGGTACCAACCTTCTTAGTGAATCGCTGTGATGTTTTACCTTTTTATCAAAGAGGATGTAGTGAATTTTCCCGGTAATCTTTTCATTGTAGTTTTTCTTCTTAATAACCATGACTTTGGGGTCTTGAAAATGATCTATCTTGTGTTGTGTCTGGTGGAAGACAGAGCCGTTAGCCTCCTGAAGCCCATCTTTACTGTTTGTTAATTTGAGGGTTGTGCTGTCTTGGGGCTTGGAAGGCAGAAAGCTGCACACTGCACCCACCAAAGAACCTCTTGACCGTATTTGTGTGGGCAGAGCTGGACTCAGCCCAACCGCCAAGTCAGTATCATAAGAGATTTGATTGTACAATACTGAAAATGATTCAGCGTTAAGGATTTTGCAATCATGGAAAGTTAAACCCAGAAAGACCGGAGAGAACCATCCATCCAACTCTCTTGTTTTAAAAATGCAGGATTCATATAGCCCAGTATACATGCCCAAGGTCACCCAACCAGGGACAAAGTAAGACAGGAATCCATATATGCCTGGTACTTAATTCCCTGCCTTTCTCCTTTTTAACATTGTCTGTGTTCAATGAATGTTGGGTTTCAGCCTTGTTATATTTCAGGGACTCTTGGCGATGTTATTTTAGGCTTAAGTGATGAAGAATCAACATTTCAGAAGTGCTGCTGATCGGTGTCATCGCTTACATATGCGAATCGCCTGCCAGAGACCCTGACCTTTGGCCATCTTTCTCCAGTGCAGCTGGTATGTCAAATGTGCAGATTATTGCACGTCATCATTTGGTTTCATGATTATGATGTAGTTTAGCAAATGCATAGGTTACATCCTTGTCGATGTATTTTTGTTGATCTTTCATAAAGTGAAAATTGTGTTTTAACGGTATATATCAGCCTGTATTCGTTGTTACAAAAATCAATATTCTGTGGAAAAAGCAAAAATCAAGTGCTAAGTTAATCTGGGATTTTTGTTATTCTGCTAAAGCAAAATTGTTTGTTACATACACAGATGAAGTAAGAAAATAATGCAGTTTTCCTGCAAGATAGGTACATAAGATTCCTGGGATTCCTGGGTTTACCTTGCCGATAGCCTGCCTCTCCCAGAAGCCAATTTTGTTTGTTTTCAGAGAAGAGGACTTATAATGCAGACCAAGTTTAAATGCTTGATGCTGAAGAGAATTTTGCCAGAGGACGCTTTTTTTTTTTTTAATGGCAAAATAAACAGCTCTTTAGCAGAGAGGTCACCTCTTCTAAGCACATCTTCACAGTGCGGATATTTTCTGGTGGATGTTTATGCCTGTATTTTACAGTATTACTTTTGGAAATTTCATATTATTGCACTTTTACTCAGTGATACTGTAGTCTAAAGCTTAGGAGATCTCAGCTAATTTGCTTCCCATTCCTCCCTATCTTACTTTAGAAATCTAGATATCCTGACTTAGGCCCTTTTTTCTCTTGTCATTCAGCAACATTTACTAGGTACTCACTACGTCCAGGGTGCTAGGGGCCTTGAGCAAGCGCGCCAAGATGAGTGAGACCAGCTCCTTACCTGATGTGTGCCCACGAGGTGTCTCTTCTGTTTTCACTAGTGGATCCTCACAAAAAGATTAAGCAGAAAACTACCAAGGTCAACTCTGTGCAAAAGTATTGCTTTAGACTCATTTGAATGATAACCATAAGAGCTGTTCTACACTCTTGACTCATATGTAAGTCACAACAACCATGAGGCAGGTGCTCTTATTATCCCATCTTACAGGCAAGGAGACTGAGGCATGGAGAGGTTAAATAACGTGCTTATTCATACGTGACAGGAGTGGGATTCAGACTCAGGCAGTCTGGCTGATGAAGACCAGCCCAGATCCATTCCTTTGGGTTCACTTGGTAATCTTCAGGCATCTTCCTGTAAAATGCCACTTACCAACTAGCCCTTTATTAGCCACTGATTCTTCAGGGATGAGTTGCAGGTGTTTTCAGGCAGAGACGCCAGTTGAGAACGGCGGCCTACAAGACAAATAGGTGTGGTGGGAATATGCATGTTTGGAGATGAGGGATGGGGGTGTAGGTGGAGCTCCTTTAGAATGTTGCCTGGGACATGCTGTAAGCCATGTTTGACTCTTGGTCTGAGGGAAAAAAGCCACACACACTTTTTTTTGTTTGTTTCTAATAATATCTAAAAGCTACTCTGGGGTAGGAAGAATGACAAGAAAGCGTGTAAAAATCTAGGTGGTGGTTACAGGGTGTTTGTTTGTAATTACTCAGATAGATAAATCACAATATAAAGGGAAAAAAACTAACATAAGGATTTGCGTGGCGGAGAGAGGTCAGAAGTTGTAAAACACAAAATAAGGTAGGAATATATCCAAACAGATTGGTAATTGTAGGTGTAAATCTGTCAGAGTCAACCATTAAAAGTCAAAGATGTTCAGATGAGGCAAAAGAAACGTTTTAAATCCCGGTTTATACAGGAACACCTAAAACAAAACAGCACAGGAAAGGTGAGAATAAAGAGACGGGGAAGACCGTGCAGATACAAGAGGAAAGCGGGGACAGCTGTGTTTTCTTTACTTGTGATTTGATTTTGTGTGATTTGACGTGAGGGGTTCAAATGTAACATCTCCTTGGAGATGAAACATCTGTTTCAAGGAAAAAAGTAAACTCTCATAACTTCTACTCAAATAGAAGCACCGGCCCATGGTTTAAATCC